CAGCAAGATCATCAACAATTCTGCCATGTAAGGCAATTACAGTAATGGGCTTTCACTGAGCATAAACTGCCACACTTTATAAAGCAGTTAGTTCAAACGGATTGTCCGAGCGGCATTAGTGCTTAGTTATTAGTATTTAGTTATATTACACTTGCTCATGGGATAATGCTTGAATGTGATCTGAGACCATCTTACGAATAATTTTTTTACAAAAAATCTGCAAACTACAGACAAGAAAACCCTGGCAAAAACATATAGTGTGCACTAGGCAGATAGATGGGAAATTGACAGATAAATTGATTGTACTACTAAGACATTAAGACAAGAACGGTTATTGTTCAAAATTCACGTATTCAACTTTGATGAAAAGTTTTGATCCACTTCAAATGTTGACTACTGTGTGTGTGTGTGTGTCCTTCACCTTCAGGTCAACCTTCACACTGCTCTAACTGATGAAATGTAAAATCAGTGAATATTGGCCGTCTGGCCGTGCATATTTAGGCCATATATATATTATAAATAAATATGGGCCACACACACATGCAAGGCCTAAATATACACGGCCAGCCCAGAAGGCCAATATTCACTGATTTTACATTTCATCAGAGCAGACTGTGAAGGTTGAATTAGCAGAGCAAAATCACAGCTGTTCATAAAATAGGCCTATATTGCAATCTACACAACATAATGGGAGACATTTCAGAGTTCTAAAGAGGACAAATTGTTGGTGCACATCTCGCTGGCTCTTCTGTGACCAGGACAGCAAGTCTTTGTGGTGTATCAATAGCTATGGTATTCAGTGTAATGTCAGCGTACCACCATGAACCGCATCAAGGATGTATTAAAGTTGACTTTTTTTATTAATCAATGAATCCTGAAAAAGAAATCACAGGTTCCAAAAAATATTAAGCAAGTTAAGCAACACAACTTTTTCTAACATTGAAAATCAAATCAACATATTAGAATGGTTCCTGAAGGATCATGTGACACCGAGGACTGGAGAAATGGCTGATGAAAATTATATAAAAAAAAACAAAAAAACAACATTATTTTAAATTGTAATTATATTTCACAATATAACTTTTTCTGTATTTCGATCAAATAAATGCAGGCTTGAAGCGAGTAAGAGACTTCTTTCAAAAGCATTAAAAATAGTTATATTTTCCAAAATTTGACCAGTACTGTATACAAGCGTATAGAACAAAGGCCAGTGAAAATGTTGGCAGGGCCAATAAAAGCACAACATACTGGCCCGACAGAAAATAAATTCGTACAGTTGAACTCTATAGACAGAGAGACAAATAGAACTTAAATGCAATAGACAGGCAGACATACATAACCACTATCTGGCTGAAGATAGATAAGAAAACCTACATATTGTGCATTTAGATAGATAGATAGATAGATAGATGGATAGATGGATAGATGGATAGATGGATAGATAGATAGATAGATAGATAGATAGATAGATGCAGAAAGACACAGAACATAAAGTGACATTATCACAGATATACAAATTAATCTAAAAATAACATGTTAGACAGATAGATAGAGAGCCAGAAGAAAAGGAGTGGGACATTAATTCAGACTGTGTGTGTGTGTGGGTCTCACCGTGGCTTTAGCTATGATGAACACGGACTCTTGACTCGCCAGACTCACATCCGGATCTGCTTTCATCAGTGTTTTGATGCGGGACAGCGGTAACTTGGCGAGGCGGTTCTGCTGCGCGCCCGCGGTGGGCCCAGTTTGCCCATTCCCTCCGTCCTCCTCCGGCTCGGTGCCCCGGGGCTCGTCTTCAGCTCGGTCCAAATCCGACTCCACTGGAGCTGCTGACACAGTCGCCGCCATTGACGCACGCGGCGCTAAATAGAACGCCTCTGTAAAAACGCCTCCGAAAGCAGATAGTCTAATCTTCTCCCGCCAAATCTTTCTGTAAACACAACCCAGAGGCGGACGGCGGAACAGACGTCACAGCGCAACGTCATTCAGTAAAGGTCATTTAGAGTCCTTAACGAGCGGCATTGCACTTTATTTTAAGGAAGGTTGATTTATAATTAATCACAGATGACATGTTATTTCCTCAGTTCATGCGAAGGACAGAACATTTTGTAAACTCCACTAACGTTACATCCAGTCATACCTCAGCTGATATGCGCGTAGAAGAAAAAAATAGGAAAAATTAGGATTTGGTGAAAAACTTTCTAAGTAAAATTTAAATCTTTCAGCAAATAATTGGTTTAATGCTTAAATTAAATGTTTAAAAAAAATAGACTATATGCATTTTTTTTCATACATTTAATCCCATTTAATACTTTGGAATTCATGTTGATTGCTTTGTCATTATATTAGTAGGCTACCATGGTACCATGAAAGAATACTGTGGTATTCTTTTAATTATTTTTTATTTGATTAATATATGGAAACTATTCAGTTCCATGGTAAATAGAAAATAGGCCAGTGAATGTTTTGTTTGGTGGGTTTATTTTTGAAAGTCAGTGCATAGACAAATTTAGGCTAACGCAAAACCTACTGAAATGCATAGGTGGTCAAAAGGGTGTCATAATGACATCATTAAAATAAAACACAGATATTTTAATAAAATATGTTTATTTGTCCACTTGTATCCCCTTATATGCATTCTTAAGATATACAATATACAAAAAAAATATTTTATGACCAAGAAACAAGTTTTTTAAGGAATTTATGTATGAATAATAATAATAATAATAATAATAATAATAATAATTTCATTGATAAAATAAATCTGAAAACCAAAAAGGTGTGACCACCTTTTGCCTCACACAGTGCAAACAGATCTCCTTCGCAGTTCATCAAGTTGTTGATTGTGACCTGTGGAATGTTGGTCCACTCCTCTTCGATGACTGTGCGAAGTTACTGGATATTGGCAGGAACTGGAACACGCTGTCGTATATGCCGATCCAGAGCATCCCGAACATCCTCAATGGGTGACATGTCCGGTGAGTATGCTGGCCATGCAAGAACTTAGATGTTTTCAGCTTCCAGGAATTGTGTACAGATCTTTGCAACATGGGGCTGTGCATTATCATGCTGCAACATGTGGTGATGGTTGTGGATGAATGGCTCAACAATGGGCCTCAGGATCTCATCACGGTATCTCTATGCATTCAAAATGCCATCAATAAAATGTACTAGTGTTTGTTGTCCATAAAATATGCCTACCCATACCATAACCCCACCGCCACCTCATCTTGATTCACAACGTTGATAACAGCAAACCGCTAACCCACACTAAGCCATTCACAGTCTTCCATCTGCCCTGAACAGTGAAAACCAGGATTCATCCATGAAGAGAACACCTCTCCAAAAGTGCTAGACGCCATCGAATCTGAGCTTTTGCCCACTCAAGTTGGTTACGACGATGAACTGCAGTCAGGTCGAGACGCCATTGAGGATGACGAGCATGCAGATGAGCTTCCCTGAGACTTTGGAGACGACTTATGTTGTATAGAGAAATGAACATTCAATTCATGGGCAACAGCTCTGGTGGACATTCCTGCCATCAGCATGCCAATTGCTCGCCCCTTTAAAACTTGCAACATCTGTGGCATTGTGCTTTGTGATAAAACTGCACATTTTAGGCCCTGTTTACACTGCTCGCGGGTGAAAACGTAAAAATATTTTATCGGATGTGCCTTTCGTTTACGCGGCGACAGCGTTTTTGGGGCTTAAAAACGCAAAAAAGTGAAATCACCCTCCAGAGTGGAAATCTTAAAAACGCTCCACCAGTGCGTTCCCGTGTAAACAGTAAAAACGCAAAAGTCTGCTTGACAGGTTCTACGCAGGTGCGCGGACTTGGTGTTGTTGTGTGGCAGTGCATCACGTTGCCACCTAGCTGCCTGGAGTGCATACTACATTGAATTATACACTCTTTTGCGTCACCATATGCACGCGGACTTCCCGCCACAAACGCTTGTCTAAACACAGAATAAAAAGTGATAACGCAACGCCACTTTTGCGTTTTCTCTTCAGAATCGTTTCCGTGTTAACAGCCTCAGAGTGGCTTTTTATTGTGGCCTGCCTAAGGCACACCTGTGCAATAATCATGCTGTTGAATCAGCATCTTGATATGCCACACCTGTGAGGTGAATGGATTATCTCGGTAAAGGAAAAGTGCTTACTAACACAGATTTAGACAGATTTGTTAACAATATTTCAGAGAAATAAGCCTTCTGTGCACATAGAAAAAGTCTTAGATCTGAGTTCAGCTCATTAAAGGAGAACTCCGGCAAACAATGAACCTTTGGTCTAATAAAACATCGGTACCTAGTCAATCGTTCTCTGAGATTTGTTTTCATGATAATCAAATGTAAAGAGTTTTTTCTCTAAAAACTGTTTAGCGTATAATGCTAGCAATGGGGGCATTGTAAAAAGAAATCGCTAGTTTATACCACTAACAAGTTTCAAAATAGCTCCACACTAACGCAGTAACATAATGAGGCTCCATACATGCAAAACGAAGCATTGAGAACTTTGTAAGTGATAAAAAACGTTTTAAGATAATAGTCTCGATGAGTGAAACTACGACTGTCGTGCTGAGTGATCTGAACTGTATGAAGTTCAGCGAACTTCTGAACTGTATGAACGGCGTTCGGGATCGACTTATCGAGACTATTTCTAAGATGTCTCCTGTCTGTATACGCGAAGTGAACTGTCTTCATAAAGTATCTTCTTATTAAACGGTCTATACACTTACAAAGTTCTCAATGCTTCGTTTTGCATGTATGGAGCCTCATTATGTTACTGCGTTAGTGTGCGGCTATTTTGAGCCTTGTTAGTGGTATAAACGAGCAATTTATTTTTACTTAGTCATTGCTAGCATTGTACGCTAAACAGTTTTTAGAGATAAAACTCTTTACATTCGATTATCATGAAAACAAATCTCAGAGAACGATTGACTAGGTTCCAATGTTTTATTAGACCAAAGGTTTATTGTTCGCCGGAGTTCTCCTTTAAAAATGGGGGCTAAAACAAAAGTGTTTATAATTTTGTTCAGTGTAATATATACTGTATGTAACCACACTACAAGTAGGTTACATACATAAAATATATAAGACCATTGTTTTGGCTAACAAAAATTATTATTATTAAAGTGTAATTCAACATATGACTTTTTCCATATGACAACCTGCTCCAACCAGACATTTATATGATGATATTGGACTATTATTATTATTATTTTAAATATACTGGTCTTCCCTATACCAAGGATGTGTTATTATTACCATCACAATTATTACACTATATATGAGTGGGATATTTGCATGCAGCATTTGCACAACTTCATTGAGGTGTGTTGCTGGTTGGATTATTACTTTCTTCTAATTGGATTGAGCACAGGTGATCGGTGGAGGATTAAAGACTGTAGAGTGAGAGGTTATTGAGCTGTTCTCTACATTCATTCATACAGACACCAGCATGAAGGATCCACAGCTACCAGGTAAAGTTTTTTTTACTCATGGAATAGAGTATGGAGAGTTTTTAATCAAACAGTAGGGAGCGCAAATATAAGATCTTATTTACTGAATCATATTGACCATTTTTAAGTGTTCATTTGAAAGGCACTTTATCTCTAGAATTATTAGGTGCAATAGTACACATGTCAGGACAGGTTGCATGGATTATGAACAATATAACCGAAAACAAACTTGTACGTTTTCTTACAAGACAAATGTTATCCTCTGTTCTTTGCCTACAGTGAATGTGCTTGAGATGTAATGTTGTTAAGTATAATTTCAACCATAAACACAGTTTTGATCTGCAGACATTGGTTTTTAAAGATGATTAAGGGTCTTACATTACAGTGAGTCCAATAATAAACATTACGATGTAATATTAATGGATGGCTAAAAAGAAAAAATGTTGTAGTTTTGTTTAAATTAAATTTATTACACTGAATTGGATTGTTATTTTGTTATTCCAATGTAATAACATTATATTAAAAACGGCACTTTATTTCAGTGTGTCCTTGTTACACGTTACTTGTATAGTAATAGGCACAATTACAGAATCTAACCCTAAACCAACCCCTAATCCTACCCTAACCCTTTAGTGAGGAGATGTAGTTCATTTGTATTACTCAGGAATTTTTTATGTATAATAACTTTGTAACAGGTACACATTAACATTAAGTCTTATTTATTCCCAACGGTTTGTTTTCTTGTAGTTTTGGTGTCACTGATGTTGAGAGTAGTTCAGTGGACATTCCGTGTATTTTTAGAAGCATGTCGAGTCTGCAAACTGTGATGCGTGGTCTTAAAAAGACTCCTAATCCACCCTACTTAAGGACTTTCCTATTCAGACGTACAAGGCTGATCTTGCCTCCAGCGCAGACACACTGGACATTTGAACTAAAATAGAAAGGACATGCAGTCATGGATTAGGATTATACAAGAACATAGAGATGCGACTCAAAGTATGTCAAGTTAAATTTGTGATCAGAACAATTTCTCTTCAAAAATAACATTTAAATTTTGTCATATTTCAAAAGGGTGTTCAACATGTAATTTCAATATGCTGGTGTCATATACGTCTCATTTATAGTTTAGGTCTTTAATGAATAAGTATGTACACAGTATGCCGTACTATAGTTTAATTTCAGTCATTTTTAAACTTTAACCTCTCGTACAGTAGTGGCCAAAATTGTATTATTGCATGTTTCATTGAATTATCACAAACAAATGAGTCCAAGCACAACTACTAAATCTTTAACACATTTATAATAATTTTTGAATGAAGGATGAAGATGTCAATGATCACTTTTTTGGACACTTATCACTTGTATGTCTCAAAGATAATAGCCATACTCAATCCTTTTTTTAGAGATTATATAATGAGACAGCTATAATTGCAGCTATGTATGGTATAAAAATGACTATATTTTTATAGGCCTCGATGTTCGATTCTCTAGTAGACTATTACGGGCGGATTTCCTACTGTCATGATCCATATTCACCCTATCTTTGTAAGGTTAAGCCTCTGTAAACCTTTCTTCCAACATGGAAGGTCATCAAGAGGAAGTGCAGTCTGTGGAGACTGACATGGTCATTACATTTCAAGACTTTAACAAACTTTAGGAGACAATCGATTTATATTTCTCATGACATCATATCTTAATTTAAAGGCTTGGGGTGGTGATGGTGTAGTGGATAAGACACATGCCTTTAGTGTGAGAGACCCAGGTTCGAATCCGTCGCTTGATAAACTTATAGTTGAGCCACGGTAGTCACATGGGATATTTAAACATTTTCTTCATTGACTTTCTGGGCCGTCAAGAGCCAGTCCTTTAGGCAGCCTATGTGGTAGTTATACAGCTCTCAAATTTAATCAAAAATATCGTCATTTGTGTTTGTCTTTGTGTTGGTACAGCATGAGTAATTAATGACTAATTTTTCATTTTTGGGTGAACTGACCCTTTAAGCCCTGTTTCTTGTTCAGTTCTTAGTCCATTCTTGTCTTATTATATTTGGTTGTTCTGTTTCTGTGATTTTGTTAGAGTTTTATGGGTATTTTGTTCTCTTCAATAAAAAGAAGACTGCTGTGTTTAAAACCTGCATTTTTTATTTATCTCTGCTTCAACCAGATGTGAAGATTATGTGATAAATAATGGTTTTGACTTTGAAAAAAGTACATCTAAATCAACTGGTTTTATTAGTGTAAAGTCATTGAGTGGTAAATTACCCTAAAACACACATATCCTCTACCATGGTCCATAAATTAGTTTCTATCCACCTTTTTATTATTAATTTGAGTAATAATTTGACTTTGCTGCCATTTTCAATCATCCTGAATCTTTTTGTCCCATTCAAGGTACCAAAATACTAAATGTCTTGAAGCGACATGGGAAAAAAGGAATAAATGAGCCAGTGGCCCAACCTGCACAGACAGAACCAGAAAAATGCAAGGTTCCGTCACTAACACCTGAACAACGAGCGAGGCAGACAGCCTTCGAGAGGGTCCTCTATGACATGTCCCACAACGACCGGATCATCGATGACGTTATGCTGGGCCGCAGGATTGCTTTCTATGAACTCAGAGGGGAAATAGGGACAGGAAATTTCTCCCAGGTCAAACTGGCTGTTCACGCTTTGACTAAAGGTGAGACAATCAGTCATCGATTTCAGTGTGTTAATTACTTAAAGTGTCCCTATTATGCTATTTGAAAGATTCTTATAGTTTTGTTTTGGAGGTTTCCTACAGTAGGTTTACATGAATTTAACGTAAAAAACAACAAATTTTCTGATAATATACATTGCACCTCCCCTGTTTTCCCACATTGTCTAAAATGATTCAAAGGATTTTAGTTTCTCTGAACCTCCTTTCCGCGAGCCTATTCTGCTCTAATTGCTCAGATGCCCCAATCTGTTGTGATTGGTCAAACAATAACAGCGCATGTCGAAATTAAACACTCATTACCATATCTGAATTTCAGCTCCAGACGCAGGCAGTTTCAGGCAGTTCTGAATCAGTTCTTTCTTTTGGGTGAAAATAACTCCATATATTGTGCACTTTGGTCATTTAACGGTGCGTATTTTTACAGCTATATTACACACTACAGCTATATTATACACTACATGGAAGGTAATATTTGAAAAAGCATAATAATGGTACTTTAAGTTTAAGAAGGCGTTGGACGACTCTACAGAGTGGCCCCCCAAAAATATTTGGACACTTATGCTACATTGTCAGAATGGAAATATTATAAATCAAATAGAAACAAATTACCTGTTCGTTCTCAGGCTAACCAAAAAATATTTAGTGAAAAGTTTTACTTTTTTTTAACCATATTTCCTAAAGTTTTGTCTGATTTTTGTCTGACCGATTACTTAATAATTATATTAATAAATATAGGATGTCTTATAAGACTAATACATTATTATTATTAACAAATAATATAAATAATTAATAATTTATATGCTACAAGTGAATTTAGGCATCACAACATTATAATTTACAGCAGTGGTTCTCAACTCCAGTCCTCGGGACCCACTGCTCTGCACATTTTGTGTCTCTCTTATCTGACACACTCAGTTCAGTTCATAGAGTCTATCCTAACGTAACGAGCTGAGGATCTGAATCAGGGGTGCTAAATAAGGGAGACACAAGCAGTGGGTCCCGAGGACTGGAGTTGAGAACCACTGATTTACAGTATGAAAAATAACATATCAATTTTAAGATTTGCTAAAAATGTAGATATTTATATTATTTATAAATTATATAATACCAATACCTATATTGCGCATCTCTAGTTTTGGACACGGGAGCTTCCTGGATGTGCATCCCACAAATCTCCATCAACTGCAAGATGCTATCCTATCAATATGGGCCAACATTTCTAAAGAATGCTTTCAGCACCTTGTTGAATCAATGCCACGTAGAATTAAGGCAGTTCTGAAGGCGAAAGGTGGTCAAACACAGTATTAGTGTGTTCCAATCCTTTAGGTGAGTGTATATTTTTTACATTTCTTAACATATATAATATTTCAAACTAGACATTTAAAGACAGCATGAAATGAAAACTACTTTTTGAAAACATAACTACTTTACGAGCTACCAATTACGTATAAATTTCCATGATTTGATTCGTACAAAAACGTGATTTTTTTAGAATAAATGTAAGCATGAAGCAGATTAAGCAAAAACATAAGAATGAGATTGTACAAATTTATACGAATTAGCCACTAATTTGACAAAATAGTTACAAATTGCCCTGAGACTGTGCTGGTCAATTCACGCTTTCTATTTTCTAAAAATGTTATTGATCTTATTGCGAATGATTCATCTGTAGCCTATATGTTTTTCTTTTTGGCCTTGTAGTTTTTAATCTCAATCTTCTCTCTGGTGACGTTTTCCTGACTTCTCCAAACATTGAGTATGTTTAAACCCAAACTCCCATAAATTTGCCTCTTTTTGAGTGTAACACCCAACTAGAACCAAGTTTTCTTTTACGAGAATCTGTTGGACTCTAAAGGCAGCACAGTTTAACAGGGTCTGTTCATGTCAGTGACCACGAGTTGATCCGCTCATGTAATCTCATCAGATTTACAGCACCCCCTCTGTGAATCTCTTTAATATTTTTGAGAGGATGGTGAGATGCCTCTTGAAAAACAACACAGCAGGGAGGCCTCTCAAAAATGTCCACATATTTTAAAAAAAAAATCTTTAATAAGATTTTAAGCCTGATATATGAAATAATAGTATTTCATTCATATTTCAGTAATTCATAGTCTTTTATGGCTGCTCAATGTGGTGCTCATTAACTGCAGGATGATGTTATATTTGATACTCGCATTTTTAACCCTATGTCTCAGGTGGTTGCTGCCAGACAGATGAGGAAGACGTGTAATTCAATTCAAAAGGTTTATTCTCTGAGCCCCCGTTTACACATGGTTATTTTGAAAAACGGATTTTGGAAAACTACGTTTGCATGTAAATTGAGAAAACTGAGTTTTAGGCAGCCAACGTCACAGTATGCGACAGAACCATAGACAGTAAAAGAAATGGACACAGCGACCCCATTTATTTCAACGGAGAAGACTGAAGCCTGAGTATTGCACTTCCTGTCTGATGTCTGAGCAACTGCGCAGGCTCAAACTGAGCGTGACGACAGTCTGACAGTTGCAAATCTTCTAGTAGCTGTGCCAACACAAATCTGAATCACCTAATTCTTAAAAAACGTTGAAATATTTTGTCGCTGTTGCTTTTATGGACTCTCTATCTATAGGCTTCTCCCTTGACTTTGTGCCTCCATGTCCCTCCCCCGTTTGCCTCATAGACAGTAAAAGATTGCCTGCGAGCTTCTCCTCCTGTCTATACGGTAATTTCTCTATTGTGCGACAGAAAGTCCCGTGTTATGACGCAATCTTTTGCCTATCTTTACAAAAACAGCTTCTACGGGGCCGCAGCGTAAGATACAAAGTAATGTAGCATTTTATACATTGTCCTGTTTCTTTAGAAATAAATAATGGACAAATTAAGTCTTTGGACGCCTCAGATGTAAAGTTATTCGCTGTCAAAGTGACGCCAAAAGATCCAACAGGAAGGCAAATGGATAGCAACACACACTGAACAGACAATACCGGACACTGAAAGAGAATTGAACATATACAGGTGTTAATGATGGTGATTGATGAGTCAATAGCTGAACGTGATTAGTGTCCGTGAAAACAAATGAGTGACGTAGGCAGGTGATGACAAAACATAATGAGTCCAAACTAACATGAATGTTACAGGTAGGCAATTTTCAGAGCAGCTAGCAATAGCAAGTTAGCTTTGAAAGCATGAGATCCCACCCTCCCTTCAGAGCATCTCCAAAGCCACGCCTCCTTCAAAACACATGAACACACACAGCAGAGTTTGCAGAGTGTTACGAGACGAGAGGTTAATACCCAAGGTTTTAAAGCACATAAAATAATTATGAACAACAAGAGCACCGACCTGTACCACCTGACTAATGATTAATTCGGCATTGATAGTATTGCCATTGATACGAATAAAGTCGAGTCACAAACCGCTCCGAATATAAAATCACAGGTTTTCATCTCTTACAAATTAAAGTTCTCGTTGTTTTGGTTCAGTTTCGGTTGTGCTGCTCTGTGACTGACGTCTGTCTGGTGCGTTCACGTGCTATGGTAATTATGGTAAATACCAAAAGCCGACGTGGAAAATACACATGAACACCCCCTCACGTGGTGTTTTCCACTGGGCAGCTCGTAGAATATTTTGATGCACGAGTTGCCGAGATGAGATACCCTTTGACCTTTTCAAAATGGCAGAGAGCAACGCGAGAGAGTCGTGAATGGTAAAAATATGTACTGTTCATGATCTAGAAAATATACAGCATATTATTTACCGTTTGAGTTTTGATAAATCATTTTCTTGCTGTAGCAGCCCAGATAGCAAACTGACATTGAATCAACGTGGAAATATGACATCGAAACAACGTTGATCTGACATTGTTTTGCTCATCGAATTAACGTTGAACCAACGTCAGACGCATCATTCTTTTAAAACTAACGAAAAATCAACTTGAAATCAACGTTGTTTCAACGTTATGAAAGCAAACCAATTTTCGATTTTCATTTAGCTTTGAAGAATGCCGCGTCTGACGTTGGTTCAACGTTAATTCGATGAGCAAAATCAACGTTGTTTCGATGTCATGAGAGACGTTGTTTCCACGTTGATTCAATGTCAGTTTGCTGTCTGGGAGATGACTTGAGGAATCTAAAGTAGTTTTAGCTAAATAACAGGTCTGGATCTCCATCTTTTAACCACATTAATGACAACAAAAGCACTTGAACCCAACACACTGGTAAACACCAGTTCACAAGTGGAAAATATCATATTTTCCATTTCCTACAACAGGTTTCTCAGGGTAGTTTTGAATTTAGAGGCCCTAGAAATTTGCGCATTAAATATGATACAGTATAGGCTTTATTGAGAATGAGGAGTCACGTGCCTATTTGGGCGGGGTCTGAGCCGGTCGGCCATGATGGTAGGTGACGCTATCGGTTACCAGGGTTTTTATCGGTTTTTAACGCAGCAGTTACTTCCAGGCATGATAAAACAGTGCGGTATTGCGAGAAACTCCTCTACTACCGAGCTAAAAACACACGTAATCAATACTGTTTTGTCGTGGGAATCCTACCAACATGGTGGAAAGGGGAGGAGCACTGTAAAATGACGTCAACTCCTCATTCTCAATAGGGTTAAGATAACAAGGTGACTTGAATATTTTACTTGCGCCCCCACTAAGTTTGTACAACATGGATTTTCCGAAATATAACTCATTCTGATTTAACACGAATCTCTCTTTCTCACACACAGAGCGTGTAGCAGTCAAGATTCTAAACAAGGCACGTCTCAACAAGAAGTCACAGAATGTATTTGCCTCAGAGATCATCTGTATGGAAAAACTCAGCCATCCAAACATTGTGCGTCTGTATGAGGTGCTTGAGACCAGTAAGCATTTGTACATCGCTATGGAGTATGGCAGTGGAGGAGACCTGTTCTCACGGATCTCCACCAGAGGGCGCCTGTCAGACCTGGAAAGCAAGATCATATTTGCCCAGATCGTCTCAGCCATCAAATACATGGTGAGAGCAGCAGGACTGTGTCCGCATTTGACCTGACAACTGCAAGAATCAATATTGCTCATACTTAGAGTTAGGAATTTTATCAACACTTAAAGGGATAGTTCACTAAAGAGACAAAGTAGGCTTGTTCACCAGGTTTGTTCTTTCTTCTGCTGAACACAAAAGAAGATATTTTGAAGAATATGGGTAACCAAACCCATTGACCTATTGATGGGACCCAATGACTTCCATAGTATGGGATAAAAATAGTATTTTTATTTTAAAATATTTATATTATTTTGGTGAAATTTATAATTATTTTCAATATTTAATTTCAATATTTTTTTTATTTTTTTTAGAATTTTTACTTTATTTTTAACTGAAATTTAACTAAAAACACACAACCGTTCAAAATAATTTTATGCATGCAACAGTAAAGACATTTACAATGCTTTTCAAATAAATGCTGTTCTTGTGAAATTTCAATTCGTCAAAGAATCCTAAAAAATAATGATGATTTGTATATTTAAGTTCAGTAATTTCACTTAAATAACAATTAATAGGTAATTATCATTGCCATTTAAGTGAAATCAATGAACTTAAATATACAAGCTTGATAAAAATGATCATTCTAGAAGAAAATTTCAAATGGCACTTAGAGGCTTTTGCATCTGAACTCTTCGTTTTTTTGTTTCTTGATCTCGGTAAAAATGAGAATGATTTCTGAAGGATCATGCGACACTGAGGACTGAAGTAATGATGATGCTGAAAATTCAGCTTTGCCATCACAGTAAAAAACATTTTCAAATATATATTAAAACTGTACGTAAACAGAAAAATATGACTGAATTTCTACTGACAAATCGAACCGCTTGTGACCAATGTTATTAACTAATACTGATTAGCGATATTCACTGTGAATTATGTGAATTGGTTGAGATAACATATTTTTTGTCATTGGAAATTTAGTAGTTTGTTATTGCCTTGCATCTACCTCGTCTCGTTTCTTCCTGGCTGTGTAGACGGCGACGCTACTTGTTATATATCTTCTTCGCCGTTGCACGTGTGAGCTTGGCAAGAGCGTTTTGTGTTTGAGCGCCCTCAAGTTGTGTTTTACTGTAACTTAAGAAGCTCCAAACACGTGAGCAAAAGCGGCAATCTCATTGGTCGGATAGTTTTTGACGCAGCGCGTCAAACTAAAAAAACGAACCCGAGGCGTTTTTTTTTTTTAAATGGCGCTTTTACGCGTGGCGTTTTACGTGTCGGTGTGCACGCTCACTAGGGTTGGGTATCGAGAATCGAGTATCGATTGGAACCGAGACTAACTTTTCGTTTTTACCGGAATCGTTCAAAAGTAAAAATTTCGATTCCTAGTTTCGATATATATTTACAGTCCGCCGAGCGGAAGAAGAAACTGCTGAACAACACCAACGAAGAAGCGTCTACCTGTAAGTGTTGGCATAACCACGCGAGTCGAACATGAGTAGCTTACGTCGACGATCCAAAATGTGGCTTCACTTTTCTAAAAATAACGAAATCTCGGCAAAATGCAAAATTTGTGACAAAAGGAGTATTTTTACTGAAGGAGTATTTCCTTCAGAAAGGATTATTTCCTTCAGAAAGGCCGTTGGTTAGCAAGGTTAGCTAAACTTTTTTGACCCTGCCTCTTAAAAGAATCGGAATCGAGAATCGAACCGGAATCGAAACAAGGAATCGGAATCGGAAGCAGAATCTTTCGAATTCAAACGATACCCAACCCTAACGCTCACATTGGCGCCCTTTGTTTAGTCATGAGGCGTTAAGTCAAGAGGCCTTCAGTTTTATTTTATTTATAATTTATATAAACTTTTTTATTTTAATTTGGTGTGACTCAGTATAACGGATCTTTTTATTTCTTCATTTTTCAGCATGAAAATAACATTATCCATCGCGACCTGAAAGCAGAAAACATTTTTTACACCACATGCTACTGCATCAAAGTGGGCGACTTCGGCTTCAGCACCGTCAGTGAGCCGTCGGAAACTCTGACCACGTTTTGCGGCTCTCCGCCGTATGCGGCACCTGAGCTCTTCAGAGACAAAAGCTACGTGGGCCGTTACGTGGACATCTGGGCGCTGGGTGTCCTGCTCTACTTCATGGTGACCGCCACCATGCCTTTCTTCGCCGACAACTTAGGCCGACTGAAACGCTGCATCCTGCAGGGGGCGTACAGCATCCCACCATACGTCCCTAACCCCTGCCAACTGGCCATCAAAGGCATGCTGAGACCCGTACCTGTGGACCGCACCATGGTGTCACAGCTGATGACATGCTCCTGGATGAAGGGCATCGAATACCCCAAACCCTATCCCGCTTTCAGCATGACGCCCAATTACCTAGCTGACCCTGAGAAGAGCCTGTGCGTGGAGGAACGGGAAGTAAAGTCAGCCCTGAGTGAGCTGGGTATCAGTGCCACACATCTGCAGAATAACACCTGCACTGACTGTCGCAGCCCAATAACAGGAACTTACCGGATCCTGCTACACCGCATCCAGAAGAGGAGATCCGTGGAGGCGGTGGGATATTCCGCCCTGTACCAGGAAGAGTTGGGTACCAAGAAATACTGGGCTAACGGCGCAACTGCTAAGCAAAATGCCTCTGCAGTTTGTACTGTGGCATGAAGACAATAGAAATCATATTTGAATGGTCCAGGTGTGGATAATATGTCTGATGCCACGTTTCAGGAAGTAATACATGTATGAAATTCATCGCAAACCTAGCGACGCAGCATTGATCCCAAGATTAAGCTTTTAGTTTTATTAATATTTTCGTAATATACCAAGTTTTGGTACTCACCTGCTGCTAAATCTTTGACAGTTTAATGATTCATGAAAGATTCAATGTTTTGCAAACAAATGACTCTTATGAGTAAATTCTTTTTAGTGGATCAATAACATGCAGCATGACCAGCGTCGATCGATTCCCAAAACGAAGTACTCGTAAGAGTCGGTTCTTTAAATTTTAGCGAATCAAAAATATATAGTGCGATTGGTGTAGCCTGTTTGATGAAACGAATGACTTTTGCGAACCATTTCTAGTGAATCAAAAATATACAGCGTGACAAAAGTAGGCTGATTCTTCAAACGAATGACTCTTATGAGCTGGGTTTTTATAGCACATCAATAACACAGTGCAAGCAGCATAGCTCGATTCCCGAAACTAATGGCGAATCTTTTATTGAATAGTTTAAAAACGGGATTGAATCATTATAATGGAATATTCTCAAATTAAGCAGAATCAATCATAAAATCTATGGGGTCCAACGGTCTGAGACTAGTGAAAATGCTTTGGTTTCACATTCTTTTAAAATTTTGTATATTTCTTATTCATGTTTTATGCCACTTGTTTAACAACGATATACTCCTTTCAAAGGGTCTCAGACTTTAAGGCCTCATTGACTTATGGTAATAAGTGCTTTACATTTAACAACGTTTCACACACATGTATTAGCATTCTTTCTAACTAATCTATCTTTTTTCTTTCTAACTAATCTTTCTTTCTTTCTAACGAATCTATCTTTTTCTCTCTAACTAATCATTTCTTCTTTCTAACTAATCTATCTTTCTTTCTAACTTCTATCTTTTTTCTTTCTAACTAATCTTTCTTTCTTTCTAACTAATCTTTCTTTCTTTCTAACTAATCTATCTTTCTTTCTAACTAATCTTTCTTTCTTTCTAACGAATCTTTTTCTTTCTAACAAATCTATCTTTTTCTCTCTAACTAATCTTTCCTTCTTTCTAACTAATCTATCTTTCTTTCTAACTAATCTCTTTCTTTCTAACGAATCTATCTTTTTTTCTTTCTTTCTTTCTTTCTTTCTAACTAATCACAACTGGATTCACTGGATGCACAACTGGATTCACCGTATACTTGTAATTCTAATGAAGGATGTTTGTTTATACTGAAACATGGTTTTGCAATCGGAACATAAGTGGTCATTTTGCCAATTTAAATATGGAAACGTGGCCAATACCGAGTGGTTTGGCAAACATTTGATACATTTTTGTATCACTGAATAGCCACAGGTGTGGGCTGAGTGTCACACAGTAAATGTTTTGGTCTTATGTAACAAAGTTTATGTTTTTGTAGCTTTACAAAAGCCTGAAAGATTTGATGGACTCGACAATACTGTAGCTGAATTGCTACTCAGACAGGGTTTACACCGAAAGTATGACGTAAAGGATTAATAGCTGATCAGCTGTTAAGCCGAATTAGAGTGGTGCTTTATAAAAAGCTTGTGGTATCAGCGATTACATTGTATTCTATAGAATTAATCACCTTAATTTCCCCTTATAAGGGAAACAAGCCTTGGCACATTCATATCAGGAATGGAAGAGATCTGCCAAGATGCTGTTTTTACAGGCATAATTTTGTAGTTGAACACATATGCCTTTGAGCTTTTAAATCATTTTTAGAGATAGTGTGTTCATTTTGCTAATTGCTTATATTACTCATTGGCATGGCATGGATGTGAAATTGTTATTCTGCATAATTTGTAGCGTTAATTATCGACTTACAGTGAAGCATTGCATGATTTTTTTGTTACATGATTGCATTTTAATATTGTTTTAGCTCACATCCATGACAAATGAATTGTATTTTGCTAATATGATTCATAACGTTTCATGTAACGTTATGTCACACGAATTACAGATGCTACATGAAAAATACATTAAATTGTATTTGTGTATATTTTCATGAAAATTAAGTAAATTTTCCTCCCAAGTTATCATTAATGTAATGCAAAAAAGGACATTCTCATACTAAAAATACTATATTATTAAGTAATTATACATAAATGTATTATTTGTTATGTGGGAATATAGAAATATAGGATTACAATTGATAAAAACAAATTAAAAAAAATCATGTTGCATTGAGATAATGAGAATTTAGGGAAATATGTTAGTGGAAAGATAAAGATAGTGGGACAAATGTAAAAAAAAAAAATCAGCCAAATGTCAGCAGGCATCTCTCTCACGCCTGCAGTTGGTGCAGAATGCTGCAGCTAGACTATTAAAAGGGATACGTAAGCGTGACCCCATTTCTCCTACATGGCCTCCCTTCACTGGATTCCAGAACGTTTTTGGATTGATTTAAAAATTTCAGTGTTTGGTTATAAATCCTTAAATGGTCTAGCCCTGACCTACCTTTCTGACCTTATATAACATGTCCCATCGAGGCCGCTTAGGTCGGCAGATTGCATGCTCTTGACTGTCCTTAGAGTAAGGCTGTTTCAGTTACGGCCCCTAAACTATGGAATAATTTACCATTGTCTGGACCCAACACTCTCCGTTTTTAAGTCTTAAAACATATGAAGAGTTCAGATGCAAAAGCCTCTAAATGCCATTTGAAATTTTCTTCTTTAATGATGATTTTTATCAAACTTGTATATTTAAGTTCGGTAATTTCACTTAAATAACAATTAATAGGTAATTATCATTGCCATTTAAGTGACATCAATGAACTTAAATATACAAGCTTGATAAAAATGATCATTCTAGAAGAAAATTTCAAACGGCACTTAGAGGCTTTTGCATTTGAACTCTTCATATTTACATTATTTGGCGTTTACTTAAGTTTGAGAGCTGTGTGTTTTTTTTTGTCTTCTTGTTGTTTATTTATGATTTTGGATGTATAGCACTTTGGTCAACTTCTGTTGTTTTAAATGTGCTCTTGAAATAAACTTGACTTTGACTTATGCAGTACATACCTGTATATATATATATATATATATATATATATATATATATATATATATATATTCATTTTAATTCTGATGTGAAATGTGACCTGGAAGAGTATAAGCTTTAATCTTTATAATGCATGCAAAAACAGATATATGATAAAAATAAATGTGCTTTACAATACATGCTGTGAAGATTACAAAACCACATGAAGACCCATGTGATTTTTTTATTTATTTCATTGAGCAACATCTGATGAAAAAAGTCATATATTTTCTTGAGTAATCCAGTTCATCTTGTTCTGATAAATTGTAAAATCAGACAAAATGAATAAAAAATATATACATTAGTGATTCATTTGACAAAGGAAAATCCAGTTAAATAAGCGATTAAAGAAGTTTATTTTTTTTTATACTGGAGCCCGAGAATTTCTCAATTTGAATAAGATGTCCAGTCTAAACAAGTGTGGGACGGCATTAACTGCTCTAAGATTTATCAAGCCAACAAAAGTATTGACATAGTCAACCAATACAGACATATTTTTATATTTTCCTGCTATTGCTAAACATCTCTTATAATGTTCTCGAATTTTCAACAACATAACCCTTGAGAAAACATCCTTTCATATCCTTCTCAGACACCAAAAACATGGGAGAGATTTACTGTCCTCAGAACGAACTGTTTCTTTTCATTGCCTTGTGAATTCACTCGGCCAAAATTTCACAATACTTGTCATCTTCCTGTGCGCTTCTAGTTTGTGCTTGCAGAGTTTATGGTCTCTTCAAAGTGATTGGCAGATTACAAACTGATATGGATTTTGCAATACTTTACTTGGCCCCATAATTCCAGACTTGTATACACATGCTTCACCACCAAAAAGTGCAATTGATGACTTGTGAAGATCACACGAAGATCACTGATGTACTTTGATACCAAATGTTACATGTATGTTTCACAGCCAAACTGTCTTTTATTTCCCATTTAGATGTAGTTACATTAAAGATAGTACCGTAGTGTAGATATTTATACTTTTAAGATGCCTTTCAAGGATACCTCAAGACTTCAAACAAGATTCAGAACCTGCAGTTCCACCACCTCAATGCCAAAGGGCAACCTAGCTAGAATTTAACGGTGGGAAACTATTCTCTCATTAGAAATTGCAATAAGTTTTATCCAGTGAGCCCTAGACAATAAGATCGGTAAGGCTGCCACCTCCGAGCCTGCTCTGACTGATTGCCCAGTTGGGCGGACACATGTACACCCCCCCCCCCCCCCCCCCCCAATGAGTCCCACTTATGGAGTTAACTTATTGTTAATTGGGCACTGGTCACCCAGGGATCGATCTAACCCTCTAGGAATGATTCTGGTGGCCCCAGATGACCAACAATGTCAGAAGGTTTGTCTTAGGATGTCAGGAATGTGTCATGGCTAAAACATCTTGACAAACTTTCATCCAGAAAACTCCTCCTGCTGTTTGTGCCCATCTAAGAGACTTCATCACAGACCTTCCCTCCTCGTCAGCTTCACCTGTGTTCAAGTCGTAGTAGTGGACTCCAAGGCCTGTTGTCTGGTCTCACTCAAAGGTATCTCAACTGCCATGGCAATATTACTTTTTAACCATGTGTTCAGTAACTTTGGACATAGTTTCGGATAGAGTTTATCACCAGATTATGGAAAGCATTCTTCTCCCTACTAGGTGTGACTGTAAAAGCCTCTGCTCTGGTTATCACCATCAGATCAGACAGGTGGGTAGAAGTAGAGGCAGATTAAAGAGATTGGTTGCTTCCTGAGAACCTCCTCTCATGGCCACCAGAACTCTTAGAACTGCTTCTTTGGATGGGCAGAGTATGCCCATCTTTTACACATATACATATACTTTTCCACAGCATTTTCAATTTTGACATTTTTAATGACTCGTAAATGTAAGTACACACTGATGGCCTAAGACACGAAACGAGCCGTTTGTGTGAGAAAACAAACGGTATTTATATAGTTTTTACCTCTTTTGTTAACAGCCGTCGAAATAATCTGAATCAGATGTCCAACTGAACCAAACTGAACCATCTCCAGACGTTACACCGGAAGTGATCTCTCACGCGTCTACGTCACGCATTGTTTACACCAGTGGCGGCTGCTGGTCTTTCAAAGAGGGGAAGCTCTTTTTTCTTCTTCTTTTTTTAAAACTCGACTGTCAGGTGTGGGGATGGTGAAAAGAGCGAGGACTCGAAGCAGAGTTGATGGGCTTTATTTTATTGATAAAAACAAACAAAAAACAAACAAGGGGAATAAATTGGGAGCAAAAAAGGCAGGTAACGAGGGAGGACAGGTGGGGCAAAATAACTAATAATCAGGAAACAAGATGGGAGTCGACACAATGACAGGAAAGCACATATGGCACAACAAACACATGACAAGCACAAGCCATGTGCTCATACCAAACATGACAAAAACACATGACCAATAAAACAAATTAAAAAGCAATTGTGCTCACACAAAATGAGACCTGAAGAACGATGAGAACACTCATAAGACACGTGTTCACACAGAACATGACAACATGAAAGCACACAGTTAGTGTAAAACACAAGCTGTGTGCTACACAGCACAAGACAAAACATGACATGACCCAGCAAACAAGCTTCTTTGGGGCCCGAATGGGTCCCTTGCGGGCAGCCCACTGTGGGCCCAGATACCGGCGTGAAATGCGGGGCACGTGTGGGCCCCACACTTCGGGACCCAGGTGGGGCCCCAGTGGGACAGCCCACAAGTGTGGGCTGACTGTGGGCAGGCCCACAGTAAGTAGAGTGGACCCCATTGGGGCCAGTTGTGGGCCCACGGTAAACCCTTATAGGGGCCGATGTGGGGCCATTGCGGGCAGCCCACTGTGGGCCCAGATACCGGCGTGAAATGCGGGGCACATGTGGGCCCCACACTTCGGGACCCAGGTGGGGCCCCAGTGGGACAGCCCACAAGTGTGGGCTGACTGTGGGCAGGCCCACAGTAAGTAGAGTGGACCCCATTGGGGCCAGTTGTGGGCCCACGACAAACCCTTATAGGGGCCCATGTGGGGGCCATTGTGGGCAGCCCACTGTGGGCCCAGATACCGGCGTGAAATGTGGGGCACGTGTGGGCCCCACACTTCGGGACCCAGGTGGGGCCCCAGTGGGACAGCCCAAAAGTGTGGGCTGACTATGGGCAGGCCCACGGTAAGTAGAGTGGACCCCATTGGGGCCAGTTGTGGGCCCACAGTGGGCTGCCTGCAATGGCCCCAAATGGGCCCCTATAAGGGTTTGCTGTGGGCCCACAACTGGCTCCAATCGGGGCCCACTCTACTTACCGTTGGCCAGCCCAAAGTGTGGGCTGACTTTGGGCTGGCCCACACAAATTATAGCAGGCTGGATGTGGGCACACTGTGGGTGCAGTTGCAAAGTTTCAGCACACAGAGTAGGTACACCCATATTACTATATGCAGTACAATTGCACTTGTTAGCAGCAATAAATCGAGGGTCATGTTTTTTTCCCCAAATAATTTATTTATATTTAATCCAGAGGTGGGGACAAGTCACACATGGTCAAGTCCAAGCAAGTCTCAAGTCTTAACCATCAAGTCCCGAGTCAAGTCTCAAGTCGCAGTTCAGATAAATCAAGCAAGTCAAGTCAAGTCAAGGGTTCACCCTAAGCAAGTCAAGTCAAGTCCTGATAAGTTTCAAGTAAAGTCAAGTCACACTACTAAAATAAATAGAGGTAAATTTTTTCGATACATATTTATTTTTGCACAGAAAAGATGAACTTTTATACATATATTATGTATCTTACATTTGCTATATTAATCATATGCATATCTGTGCTACATTAATATCTGAAAATAAAATAAAATTGTGTTGTTTACACAGTCTAAGATGTATCGATTCTAAGATGTATAATCCAATCTGTCTAATTCAATTTAATTGAAACGGTCTAAAATGTATGAAATCTAAAATGTAATATCTTATATAAATGTAAAATATAAAATGTATGAAATGTATGAGAATATAAAATGCCATTTTTTTTAAATTCAGTAGTTTTTCTTATCATAGCCAACAAATGTCTTCGGAAACTCCTTTTCCTCGATTTACTGAAACCTATATGTAAAACGCATTTGCAGCTGCACAGCCGTGTATATATCTATGCTGCATATACAGACATCCCAACCTACAAGAATTCATTTCAGGGAGGTATATCTCAATGAATGTAATGTTAGGGGAGGGGGGGTAATATATGTTATATTAACATATTTAAAATATGTTTAAAATAAATATAAAATAAAAATGGTAATATGTTATATTAACATATTTTATATTTAATAAATATTACATATTAAATAATATTATGTATATTATATAGGCTATTAAATTTACATAAATATTAACAAATGATTGTTTTAATTATGGAATTCTCCATAATTAACTCCTAAACTTCAGTAGAGAACAATTCTTTGTAAGGAAGGAGGGGTTTCTTTATTGTACATTTATTTGCATGTAGTATGTAGCATATGGTTTGCGTTGCTTTAAATTGGTCAGTACAGCGCTGACTATTGAGTGTCGCTAGGAAACACGTCCGCGCTGCGCTGACGAATCGGCTGCGCGGCTCGGATCATTGAACCGTGCAGATGACATGTCTGCGCGGCACGAGCTCTGTAAAGCCCCGCTGTCTCGTCCCACTTTAGGTTTGTTTGGCTTCCCATATCTCTGCCGTGCACACGCCGCACGCTATGTATGTTATACGCGCAGTATCTCGCTCTAGATTCCGGGAGATTTTAACTCATTTGCGGGCATCAGGGAGACGCTATCAATATGCGTGAGACTCCCGGAACTTCCATTTGGCGCGGTTTGAATTGAGCAGCGTAAAGGCACAGATGCCGATATATTGATGCTGACGTCATAATATATATTTTAATTAACTGTATTGCTGTTTGTTTATTACATGTTCAAGTCATTGTCGAGTCTTCCACTTCAAGTCAAGTCAAGTCTCAAGTAACTTGTTCTCAAGTCAAAGTCAAGTCAAGTCATTTTTGTACTTTAATCAAGCAAGTCACAAGTCCTGAAAATTGTGACTCGAGTCAGACTCGAGTCAAGTCATGTGACTCGAGTCCCCCACCTCTGATTTAATCATAATTATAATTAATGATAATACAGTTTAAAACGGCAATAACCACAGAAAACAGGGGATTGAAAATTAAAAATCAATCCCCTCAGGGGAAACAGTAGGTATTTCTGCAGTTCTGGCCCTTCCTTGCCGTCCCCATCTCTGTCCCAGGGATTACGGAGCCATGTCTTCATAGAGGCTTCCACATCACATGCAGTGGCTTGACTGCTTTTTGTCACAGCATCTAAGTGAGAAAGGATCAATTGAAATACAAATGTTAAAAACAAAATAAGGGTTGTACTGTTGAGCCATTTCAACCTAAGAAAGTTTTCAACCTGCACTTTGAATGAGGAAACGTCTTCTGATTGTTCCAGGTGCTATTTATAAATGCTTAACTAAGAGAATGACTGAATAGGTCAATGAGAGAGCTGCGGTTTATAATAACATTTAGTTGTAAGTCATTTTGGTTGGTTAATGATGAACTAAGCTTTTACAAAACATTCATAAATGATTAGCAATTGATATACTAACATTTTATGTATGTTTTGTTAATTCTGTTACAAGTCATTTACAAGTGATTAGTAAATGATTAACTTATTTTTTATGAAACATGATTATGCATTTCATAAATGTTTAAGTGATGTTAATTATTGTATGTTTTGTAGATTCAGTTATAAATAATTTACAATTGTTTAGTTAATGATTAACTAATCATTTAAAAAAAACATTAACATGCATTTAATAAATGTTCAATAAAGGTTTTTATTTTCTCCCTACTTATTAAAATTTAAATTTAAAATTACAAACAACCACCAGCCTGAAAAACATGTTGTATGAAGACTGTTTAAAATACCCCTCCTAATCCTCACAGAATTTGCAAGACAGAACTGATAACACCTGGGCTTATCGATACTGCGGTCTTCCTTAAAAAAAGCTTGTAATTATTTTTTTTGTACTCGTAATGATTTGTCATTACAAGTGCACAGCTATGTGAGTGGTGTTATTAAGAGTGACCACGGTTAATAGATATGAAAGATATTAATAAAAATGATGTTAATTCAGCCAGCGCACATACCTCTATTTGCTTCCTGTTTTCGGGCGAAGCCCACAGTAGTCGATTGTCGAGTTCACGCGCGCGATCATAAGTGAATATCATCTCAAACCTCTGTGTGTTCAACATCTGATTCGGATGAACTATCCATTTGAGCTGATATTCTCAGAACACCACACAGTGGTAGGTTTGAGACGATATAAATGAACTCACGTGTGAGATCGACAATCGACTACTGTGGGCATCGACAGAAAACAGGAAGCAAATAGAGGTATGTGCGCTGGCTGAATTAACATCATTTTTATTAATATCTTTCATATCTACTGCAGTCAGATTGACCGTGGTCACTCTTAATAACACCACTCACATGGATGTACACTCGTAATGACAAATCAAGGATGTTAAGAGGCTAAAAGCAGGTTTAGACCATGCCCCATTGAAGTCAGCAGGGTGCAAATTTTAAAAAGATGATAACACAGTGTAGGCAACACCAATTTTTGTCTGTACTGACAGCACTCCAAATGTACAAAAAAAATAGCTCAATGTTAAAATTGACCGGAGTTTTCCTTTAATTTGGCCCCAGGGCCCGTTTAATGTTTAATACCGGGTTTTGGTTACTATACCAACGTATGGGTGAGTTCTTATGGATGAAGGCCTGTTGTGTTCGGTCTCTTGGTTTGTGGTAGTGGAAGCTATTGTGAAACTCACCTTTGTCATGTACTGGGTGTGGATGGCATCAAGATCTGGTCCTGAAGAATCACAGGGTCAAATGATATCTCATCTGGTAACAAGAGCATAGTAACTTTAGAAACTCTAATGATATCTTTACCCCCTGATATTGCATTGTGGATTTAAATTCAAACATTTAAAGGCTAAGAATATGAGCCATGAGTAAACTGGCCAGATATCTGTGAAAAATAACTTGCGTGCCTAAAGTTGTCGACCCCCTGAATTCAGCATTAAAAAGTTAAAAGAACTTTAGTATTTATCATTAAAAAAAATTACATGAAAATAAATAAATACCTTAGCGCTGGACAGTATGGTGTCTCATTTGCCAACATAATTAAAAACACACCTAGAGAATATACCAATGACCATGATATCCATGTTATCATAATAGTTTAATTATTATAACTTATGACCATTATAACATTATATTATTTTGCCAGCTATTATTTAGCCTACAGGCTTCTCAAGGACAATATCACTGAAAAAAAACTGGGGTTAATGAGTGTGAGACTTAATTAAAAAGCATAAATCCTACAGACCCCAAACTTTTGAACAGTATGATTGAAGTTTTGCTTACTAGTCGAGTTCATAGCCGTGGAGGTTGTCTTGGGACAGGGCTGTAGCAGGACATCATGGTGATTTTCTAGACTAGAAAATAACATGCAATGTGTCACAGAGCCAACAATGTTACATAGGATTTGCAATAGAACAAAGGGTTTATTACAAGGAATCAAGCTAGAGATGCAATGCAGAAAAGAGAAAAAGAATATATAAAATCTTAACGTAATATATTGTGCAAGAAATGCATATGAAATTATTATCATGAAACAATAATTCCTCCTTTGTTGTGGAGGTTTTTTTCTGTCCCTTCTGAAATCACTTTTATTATCAATCTTTGTAAGTGACGTCACTGATCAACAGTACGTTACAGTGTGAATTCTTTCAGGCTAGCTAGCAATTAGCTAATTTCCAATAACCCATTGACAAATTACCAGCAAAACAAAAACTGTAATCAACACAAAGATGTGGTTAAAACCCCAAACTTATGTAAAACAAGAGCTAACGTTAACTTAACTTAACGTTTAACGTTACCTATTCTGAAAACAGTTGAGATGCTAACGGACTTTTTCGAAGACTCAAAACCTTTTCTACAAAGTAAATATTCAACAGAAGCGTATCAATTATACGTAAGAAAGGTGTCAGGAACGTTTGTATGTATTATTTGTGTGATTTTGTTAACCAAACTTACCTGAAAGCAGTGGAAAAACAGGGAGACGCTATTTTTTGCTGTTTGTCAGTTGAAGAGGTTTCCTCGTTTCCATGGTTTCCATCTGCTCGCGTGCGCTCCTGTCTTTGAATCGGACAACTTTGAATGCGACTCGCACGCGCGTTGAAATCATATCAATTCAAAAGGCACGCAGCATTTAAACATCTAGAATTATAACATGTAACAATTTAAAATATCATTCATTTTATATCATGAATTTAAAAATCATTATGTAGTTCTATGACCAATGTAATATTATTTTTTTCATTAGAATATGAAAGCACTAAAATGCTTTATATAAATGAAAGTTGGTAATGAAATTACGTCCAGTGACGTCGCAGTTTCGTTTGTGTCTGATTGGGCTCAGTCGTTACATCAGTGATGTAGGCCTATTTATTAGTATCAATAATATATGATTTTATTATGATAAATATCCATCACTGATGAATACCAAAACATATCTGTAAACCATTGTATTGTTTTTATTGTGACAAATAAGTTAATTTTATTTAATAAATGTGGTAACACTTTCTGTGCAGTCCATACTTATAATGAATTATAGCACCATTTATACTTATTTATGAGCAATATTACAATTCTATAAATATATTTATAAAGACTCATTAAGACCTACCGCATTACAATATATAGTTACATCTATATTTTTTTATAATTCCTTATAAGTCAAAAATTTGTTTTTAAATGCTCAGGCTCAAAATCCATTATATGCAGTTTTAGTTAATTATGGACTGACATTTCACAGGATCGTTAAATAGTTTGATTAAGCTTCTAATATTAAACCTTCTAATGTTAAAACATTTGACTGTTAAACAACTTAACTTTGCATGGGCTAACTGCCTGGGGCCCCATGTGGGTTTTCTGTGGGCAAACCCACAGTGGGTTGCCAACAGTAAACCCTCATGGGGGCCCCATAGTGAAAAACAGCTATGGGCCCCGTATGGGCTAACCCACTGGGGGCCTGTGTGGGTTTTCTGTGGGCAAACCCACAGTGGGTTGCCCACAGTAAACCCTCATGGGGGCCCAAATGGGCAAATCTGCTATGGGCCCCGCATGGGCTAACCCACTGCGAGCCCGTGTGGGTTTTCTGTGGGCAAACCCACAGTGGGTTGCCCACAGTAAACCCTCATGGGGGCCCAAATGGGCAAATCTGCTATGGGCCCCGCATGGGCTAACCCACTGCGAGCCCGTGTGGGTTTTCTGTGGGCAAACCCACAGTGGGTTGCCCACAGTAAACCCTCATGGGGCCCCAAATGGGCAAATCTGCTATGGGCCCCGCATGGGCTAACCCACTGCGAGCCCGTGTGGGTTTTCTGTGGGCAAACCCACAGTGGATTGCCCACAGTAAACCCTCATGGGGGCCCAAATGGGCAAAACTGCTATGGGCCCCACATGGGCTAACCCACTAGGGGCCCTTGAGGGGTTTCTGTGGGAAAGCCCACTGTGGGCTTGCCCTCAGCAAGCCCACATGGGGCCCCAAAGGGTTTGCCCTTGCCCACACTGTCCCACAGAAAACCCACACTTACCCACAGTGGGCCCGCACTGGCATGTTTGCTGGGGAAAGCACGCGGCCGATGTAAACACAAACCATGTGCTACACAATACACAACACACTGAACAGAGCGAACACGACAAGACAGAACGCTAACGTTACGCATGAGTACGACCATAAGGTCATCCTGTGCACTCACAACCGAAAACAAACACGCGGAGAATGCATGTCCGAATCCCAACACAAAAGTGAAACCAAACTAGACAGATGTGCCGTGATTCAAACACCACGCCCGCACATTTAACAAGACACCTGACATCGACGGAAGAAATGTGGGAATTAGGTTGAACTGTGAAATATCTGATGAAAATTGCAAATACTAAGAAATATGTTACAGTAGTTCGTCTTTCGAGTAAAATACACACAAAATTCGCGACGAGACTGAGCACGAAGTCTTTAAACTAGCTTCCGCGTCAGCGATTTTTTTATTGGGTGAAATCGCTGTCAATCAAAAGGAGATGCAATCCTCCAATCATCACGCGGACGCCCGGACGCCAGGCCAGCCCACTTCCCTATTCACCCCAGAGACGCCCGGCGTCCGTGGGCGGGACATAATCGCAGCATTTATCCAATGACCGTCTAGTTTAACAGCACTGAAAAAAACTGTTCAAAGCAGCCCCATTGAAGTCAATGGACGCCGAGCTTCAACGGGGAAATGCCATAGGAAAATGCATGCACTGTGACGCGCTACAGGTATGCATGAGAAGGAGATCAAGTCAGCCGACCTGCTATTTGTTGCTTATTCTGAACGAACTCGTCTTCGAGATTACCGTGTTCTAACGCATTTTTACTCATTAAAATGTTAACACAATAGTAAACATTAGATCATTATTTGTTTGACATTATAGGGGAAGCTGAGCTTCCCTTGCAGTCTTAAAGAAATCTCCACTGGTTTACACAGAGATTTCGGAAGTTTTACCTTTAGGTAAAACTTCAGAAATCTCCGTGTAGAGTCATTAAATCATGTTTAATTTTGACGTCTCTGTGCATTCTCTTTGGGGCGGAGCCCCATACCTGCATTATATGACTGACATACAACAACGGTTAAACCAAACAATGTTAAAATTGAAAATGCTGTGGAAACAAAGACACCTACATCTCGGATGCCCTTGAGGTAAGCTAAAACATATCAAAAATTAATTTCAAAGTGAACTATCCCTTTAGGGAGGGCAATAAACATTGTCATGAAAATGTACTTTCTTGAAGTACACTTAAGTGACCTTTTGTTTCATAACATTGTTATCAAAGTGCACTTTGTAAAAATATCCTGTCAAAAATGTTACCAATAACATTTGATCATAGCCATTGCTGCCTTGGATTTTGGATTGCCCCTAATGGAATTTTGTTCTTAATAAATATCTCAGTACATGGTTCTCAATCAGTCAGATGTTTTTTCAATAGGAGAGTTTGGTTTAAAAATGAGAGAGTGTCCAAAAAATGTGTCCAGTGTGTATTTTTGGATGACCTAATCTGGATGACCTAAAGCAAACCGAAAGAAAAAGTACCCATCATTTCTCATAAAAATATAATAGCTATTCCCAGTGTGAGAAATTATCTCACTGGGTTTCTCCCTTCTGTGAACACATAATTAATTAGCAAATCGGCCAAAGTTGGTTTTATTTGGGGGGGATGAATGTTTAAATCTTTTTGAGCGATTACAGGTTCTGTTGTTATCAGAATTGCAGAAGCTGAGCATGTGAAATAGTCCATGAATGCAATTGGCTGACGCTATATTCATTTACAAGCAACTGCAAAAGTTCTCATGGCTATAAGCCAACAGAACCCGCTTTTTTTGTATTAGTCATGAAAAGAGGCAAAAACATGTTTAGAGTTGTTGGTGAAACAAGCACACATTAATGATATATTGTCCTGAAACTGTTCAACCGTCCCTGAATGTGAGTGTGAGAAAAGGGGGGCTTACCTTACAACATTTACAATTAGACACAGAACCATGACATACTGCAGACAACACACTCACAGACTTTAAAGCGGTGATGAACTGAGAAATAAAATTTTCCTTGAGCTTTTGATATCTAAGAGGTCATCATATTATAAGAATTTCCTGTAAGTTTCAGCACTGAAAACGTCCTTGTTAGTCCAATAAAAGCTTTTATTGACACCAGGCTCAGCAAACGACTCGTTTTTCAAAGTGGGGAACTATGACGTCAAAGAGGATAAAACACCACCCCCGCAGAAGAAGATCAACACATACTTCAACACGGCCGGTTTAGCCCCGCCCACCGATTTGCGCATTACACGCATTGCTAAATAACATAGATGCTCGCCTACCTCGTGATGGCAATCCGGATCGAGTTACCAAGCAATACAAAATATTGTGCAGCGCTGGTTGTGGAAGAAGACAGTTGCTGAGTAAGCTTCCTCTGCATTCCAATAGGACTGCATGGTTAAACTTTATTTATCATGACGGTAAAATGGTCTGTTCGCTTCATTTCACTGAGGATTGTTTTGTAAACGACTAGATTTGCAGACCGATTAAGATTAAAGAACGGTGCTGACAGGAATGGTGCAACACATGGACTCTGGTTCGAACATCTATGGGCGAATCATTCCCGTTGCCATTTTAGAACATTGGATGTTTTCAAAAACAATTTCCCCCACGCACCAACCAGAACCGACGGGTGAGTTGAAACTCATTATAATATGCACAACTGTTATCTACTCACAGCAATGGGCATTTACTTCCAAGTCTTCAGTGCGAGACGCTCATAAAAACCGAGCGTTTTTGAGATAGGCTCAAAACTAGGGTACAAAATAGCCTATTGCTTATTCATTTTGATGTTTTTGAATGGAAAAACCAAGCGAACGTCATAAGTTGAACTCAGACAACAATATAATAAAATTTAAAAAGCCAGTTCATGACCCATTTAATGGGCTCTATGCACGGCGGTATTTCCGGTGAAGGTGTGAGGATGCTTGATAACTTCCGCCGATCGTAGAGTCCAATGTAATACCGAGAATTTATATTGAATTTTATACTCCATGGTTATACTAAAGAAACGTTAGTCACAAAAACAGATAAAACAGACACCCCTCGTTGTGTTTATGCTTCTTTTTAAAATTATATTAAATAAACATAACTATATATAAAATTACATCTAAACGTATGTACGCTTCGTTTCAAAGACGGGAGGACAGTAAATTTGGAAGATTCTGCCATAATCCCGTTTTCCTCGGTTTTCCTCCGCTTTAATCTCCACAACCGGAAATGGACGAGCATCCTTACGTCAAATGCGGAACTTATGCGTGCATATACTGTAGCCCATTGTTTGTGTGATGATCTGCGGCTGGAGTGCCCGCTTGAGCCTCTGGGGGGCACTCCTTCCTAGTTTATTGTTTCATTCATGTTTTACCCTGGACTGATTATGGTTTATTTCATGCACCTGTGTTTTATCATCTTGTTTAGTTCACCTGTCTTAAGCCCGAGTTTCCCCTTTGTTCGGGGCTCAGTATTGTTTGTGTATAGTGTCTGATTGCTGCGTGTGTTTTTCTAGTATTTCTTAGTTTCCTTAATATTTCCTAGTTTCACGGTTCCTGGACTCTCTGCCTGTATCTGGTCTTCCCGTTTGCCTAATCCCTGAATTGTTTGATTACTGATCTGGACTGCTTACCTGGTTTTGACCCCTGCCTGTTTCCTTGTACCTGTCTCTGGATTCTCCTCTTTAATAAAGCCTGCGTTTGGATCACCTCTGTCCATGTTCCATGTGCAGTTTCATGACAGAATACTGAGCCACTACTGATCCAGCGGCTGAGAGGAACACGGACCTCGCAATGGATCCCACAGCACAGATCGTATGCCTCCGCCAAGGAGAACGTCCTCTCAAGGTTTTTGTGATGGATTTTTTGAAGCTCTCTCATCAGTCCTACTTGGATGATTTTTGTTTAATGATATTCTTTCGGGGAGGACTGTCTGAACCGCTCGGCTCTGATATACCGTTTCCGAGTCCAAGCTGGACTCTTTCCCAATATATTGATCTGGCCCTTTCCAGGAGCGGTTCGCTTTTTACTGTGGATTTTTTGGAACTTTTGCTTCACAGAGGACCCGACGATTCGGCATTTTACAAGGTACCCACTGAATCCACGCATCTAGAGTCTCCCGGTGAACCAGCGCTTCACACGTGCTCCGCCGAGTTTGCGCTACATAAAAGCCCAGTTGAACCAGCACTTGGTGAGGAGTCCCCCGAATCCACGCGACATGTGAATCCTGTTGTTCTAACACTTCACGTGAGCTCCGTTGCATTCCTGCCTCAGGAGTTTTCCACTGAGCGCGTGCCAGCCGAGTCAAGTGCCGGGCCGAACGAGTCAAGTGAGTCAACGGCCGAGTCAAGTGAGTCAACGGCCGAGTCAAGTGAGTCAACGGCCGAGTCAAGTGAGTCAACGGCCGAGTCAAGTGAGTCAACGGCCGAGTCAAGTGAGTCAAAGGCCGAGTCAAGTGAGTCAACGGCCGAGTCAAGTGAGTCAAGTGTGTCCAGGTCCAAATCAAGTGAGTCAAGTGTGTCCAGGTCCAAATCAAGTGAGTCAAGTGTGTCCAGGTCCAAATCAAGTGAGTCAAGTGTGTCCTGGTCCAAATCAAGTGAGTCAAGTGTGTCCAGGTCCAAATCGAGTCAAGTGAGTGTATCGCCTCTTCAAGTGAGCGCTGTATCTCCTCTTCAAGTGAGCGCTGTATCTCCTCTTCAAGTGAGCGCTGAATCTCCTCTTCAAGTGAGCGCTGAATCTCCTCTTCAAGTGAGCGCTGAATCTCCTCTTCAAGTGAGCGCTGAATCTCCTCTTCAAGTGAGCGCTGAATCTCCTCTTCAAGTGAGCGCTGAATCTCCTCTTCAAGTGAGCGCTGAATCTCCTCTTCAAGTGAGCGCTGAATCTCCTCTTCAAGTGAGCGCTGAATCTCCTCTTCAAGTGAGCGCTGAATCTCCTCTTCAAGTGAGCGCTGAATCTCCTCTTCAAGTGAGCGCTGAATCTCCTCTTCAAGTGAGCGCTGCATCTCCTCTTCAAGTGAGCGCTGCATCTCCTCTTCAAGTGAGCGCTGCATCTCCTCTTCAAGTGAGTGAGTTGTCCAGCCCAGCGAGTGTGTCTAGCCCTGTGACGCGCCGCCGCAGGAGGAGGAGAAGGAGGACTCGTTTGGTTCGCCAGGCCCGGTGAGCGTGCCCAGACTCCTCGCTCTGCCGGCCCCCTCTGCGCCTCGCTCTGCCGGCCCCGCCTCTGCGCCTCGCTCTGCCGGCCCCGCCTCTGCGCCTCGCTCTGCCGGCCCCGCCTCTGCGCCTCGCTCTGCCGGCCCCACCTCTGCGCCTCGCCCTGCCGGCCCCGCCTCTGCGCCTCGCCCTGCCGGCCCCGCCTCTGCGCCTCGCCCTGCCGGCCCCGCCTCTGCGCATCACCTTGACTGCGCCCTTCAAGCTCCGGGAGACCTTTCCTGAACCCGTTTACCACCCAGAGGTTCCTCCCGTGAATTTCCCCAAGTATTTTTTGGGGGGGGCACTAGGTACTCTGCGGGGCCCTTGGAGGCGACACTGACATGGACCGCACCTGAGTCTGCTCCGCCCTCGTCTCTGCCTGAGCCTGCTCCGCCCTGGCCGCCATCAAGTCCTGCTCCGCCCTGGCCGCCTTCACGTCCTGCTCCGCCCTGGCCGCCTTCACGCCCTGCTCCGCCCTGGCCGCCATCACGCCCTGCTCCGCCCTGGCCGCCATCACGCCCTGCTTCGCCCTGGCCGCCATCACGCCCTGCTCCGCCCTGGCCGCCATCACGTCCTGCTCCGCCCTGGCCGCCATCACGTCCTGCTCCAACCTGGTCACCCACGCTCCACGGCCCAGGCCCGCCTTGCCTGTGTCCGGGTCCCGTTCCCCTGCACGGGCCTGGCCCTCCGTCCCTCCCCGGGATCACCTTCACTCTGCCCCCGCCTGGATTGTTCTAGGAGCGTCTGGAAGCCGCTCCTTAGAGGGGGGTTATGTGATGATCTGCGGCTGGAGTGCCCGCTTGAGCCTCTGGGGGGCACTCCTTCCTAGTTTATTGTTTCATTCATGTTTTACCCTGGACTGATTATGGTTTATTTCATGCACCTGTGTTTTATCATCTTGTTTAGTTCACCTGTCTTAAGCCCGAGTTTCCCCTTTGTTCGGGGCTCAGTATTGTTTGTGTATAGTGTCTGATTGCTGCGTGTGTTTTTCTAGTATTTCTTAGTTTCCTTAATATTTCCTAGTTTCACGGTTCCTGGACTCTCTGCCTGTATCTGGTCTTCCCGTTTGCCTAATCCCTGAATTGTTTGATTACTGATCTGGACTGCTTACCTGGTTTTGACCCCTGCCTGTTTCCTTGTACCTGTCTCTGGATTCTCCTCTTTAATAAAGCCTGCGTTTGGATCACCTCTGTCCATGTTCCATGTGCAGTTTCATGACAGATTGTTACACAAGCCGATATAGAAATTGTATTCAAGTTTATACTGGCACCTATTGGTGTGGATGTATGTAAACGGTCCCTAACAGGGAACGTTCTTCTCAGAACTTTGGCTCACATTCTGGCAAGAATCTCTCAAAGTTCAGAACAAATGTTAATCCAGAAACGTTAATACAATATCTGTTCAAAATGATCTGGTCTTTAATAATGTTCTTAAAACATTGGCACTAACACTTTTTTACATTGTTTATGTAATGTTTTTTTCTTAAATGTTTAAGGGGACGTTTACACGACACCGTTTTCAAACTTTTTATGTTTTGGCCATTCACTTGCATTCACAAACTTTTGAAAACAGGTTTCAAAGTGTAAGTTATCGTCTTTATAGGTAGTGTTTCTTTACAAAGTGACATCGCCAACTACTGGCCTGACATGCATAATACCATGTTTTAAAGCCACAATATGTATTTTTTCTGCATTAAAAATAGCAAAAATAACTGTATCTATGTTATATATTTCTGTTAGATATGTACTTACATTATCCCGACAGTTTCCACCAAATTTCAAATACGGAGAAATTTATAGTTTAATTCGAAGACACGGGACGTTTCTTTATTTCCGTTTCATCGCCCGTCTATGGCGTCATATAACCTTTGACTCCTCTATTTTCTCTAACTTCCTTGCGGAACCTGGCGAAGCCGCCAAACACAAAGGGGAACACTGGACTACCGCCAATAAAGCAAAGAAAATGATGAAGAAAAAAAAGTAGTACGTATTTTTATGTGTGTAAATCACGTGCCCGCTCACGAGCGCTCTTAACAGACACACTGTCCCCGGTGCTGCTCGCGCATAAAGCGCTCCCCGTTCACAGTAACCGTGTCGTCTCATTCAAAACAGCCAACTGTTGCTGTTAGCGAGCCGCGCACATTAAATACTCTTATGAGTCAGGCTGCGAATGTACGTGCCCGCTTCAGCGCGCTCATACTTACTAAATAAACGCCTCACCTCCGGCGCCGCGCACTCACTATTAGCACATAGTGGATGAATAACGCAAACCCAGTCAAACGTTTGACTGCAGTATCTTATGTGCTTTATAATCCGGTGCGCTCTATATGAAAAATGTTCTAAAATAGGTCATTCATTGAAGGAGCGTAATATTAATATTTATATTCGTCTGTATAATAGTTATGGACCACGATTATGCTTTGCCTGCACGTTCTGCTGCTACAGCCAGCTCATTAGCTAAAGCTCAAACGTACCTGAAAAATATGACCCGAGAAGGGTTTGGGACAGGAGAAGCATGACACAGGTAAACATTGGGGTTGCATTTAAAACTTCTTGACAAGCTAAATCTACAGAGAGATGCCGTATATCCGTATATTTTGTGAAACGATGATGTCATGTCATGAGCTGAGCTGGTTGTCATTGACAGCGACAACAACTCCCGTGAGCCCACGCTCTTTCCCGACGTCATCAAAGTACGTCTTTTGTTATTATTTTAAACGAGTGACCCCTGGTGGCCAAAAATCTCATACTGTACGTTTAAGTAATTTTTGCAGATCCATGTGAATGGGAAACACGGATTTTGCCTCGCGGTGAGTGTGAGAGTCAAAGAGATCAAAAGGGGCTTCTGTGTTTTCAGGGCAAAAGATACAAGGCTGTTTTCTGTCATAATAAATGCATTCCAGCCTCACCAAGAGAAAGACCATGAGGATATATTCCACAGACTGAAGGAGAAAGCTGTGCTGTTGCAGAACCAGGTGTTGTATTTACATCTTTCTCAAAATGTCTACATGGAATTTTTAAATAATTTGTTGATTATCATTAGGTATGGCATATTTTTTTTTAAATGTGTTCTGTTTTTCTAACTCTTGCAAGAGTTATGATGCAAATTAAAATAATTAATAAAATAATATTAAAATCTTGCATTTACAATCTGAAACTTAAAGGTGCTATATGTATTTTTAGCGGCCTCTATCAGTGATGATTCAGATTGCAACCATTTTTTACAAGAGCGCTCTTGCTTGAACACAAGTGCGAGCACTCACGGTACACGGCCACACTGAGACTTTCAACACACCGGAGAAATGCCGAAGGCTCATGTAAACTCCCACTACAACGTTACAATAATTTTATCAGCTTGACGTTGAACTAATTCACGTAACATCCGATGGATTTCGCAGAAAATACGACCCAGAGACTTCACATAGAAATAGGAACCCGACAAGTGGATCATTGTAATGTGTTGATTGCAATAAAAGATTGCAATAAAAAAAGGATTCAATTTAGAAGAAAAGTTACATATAGCACCTTTAAATTTTATGTATTTTTTTTTTCCCTGCTATTTCTCTGTGCAGGATGAGGATGAAGAAGGTGCCAGTGTCCATCCTCCTGAAACAACCAGACTGAGCTGAAACTCTTGTGAATTAGAGATGAACCCAAGCGCAGGATGCTTGACACAGTTTATTAAAGGACAAAACCATGGAAAACAAAACCAACGAGGAGGCAAAACATGGACAGGAAAAGAAGTGACTAAAGCTGCTCGACTGGCCTGCCGTCCCCTGAGGTAGTTGCTAACTTTCCTTTCTAAGAATTGACTGTTGAAATCGGCTCTGCATTTACAAGAAGGGGTCGCAGTGTTCTAGGGAGAATGCCGTACTGATACACCCATGCACACTTTGAACTTCCCAGACACCCCAGACTTATATTCTGATTTAAGAAGCTATCCAACTATATGCAGGTGGCTTGTGTCCCTCATAGAACTGTCAAACACATTGCCTAGCTCTCTTTTTCTGAGATAGTTGGAATTAGAGCCCGACCGATAAAGGATTTTGAAGGCCGATACCGATCCAAATATTTGTTGGTTTTAAAATCCGATAGTCCGATATATCGGCCGATATTTAAAAAAAAAAAAAATTTTATTTGAGAAACGCGCAACAAAACATGAACAGATTTCCCTAACATTAGTTATTTGTAGTTATTTATGAGTTTTAACTAAAATAATATGATGATGTATTTTAAAAAGAAACTTGTTTCTTTAATTGTCACAACAGAACTGAGGAACATCAAAATATATTAAAGTTCTGATATTAGTCCCTACATGCCTTATAAGCTACCTGCAAGATCAGCAGGTTGCAGGATATGTGGCGCGTTATACACGAGTGTTGCCAAAAAGGGAAGGTGTAGAGTGCCCTCTGGTGGACAAACTATACAACTCCAACACTCATGACATGGTTGAAGCGTGTTTCGTCCATCGTCCGTTATTTTATTTTTGAAATATTCATTTATCGGCCATTATAACTGCCGATAGTTTGGAAAACGCCTAATATTGGCCGATAATATCGGCCTGCCGATATATATCGGTCTGGCTTGGAATGACTCTGTCTGCAATGTAGAATTGAATAAAGTTTTCAACCTTTCTTTTCTTCAGCACCAATGATCTGTATTTGGCTGGTTTGAAATGCACTCACCATTGCTGATTGTTTCACTAAACGAAAATAAAGCAGGCCAGATCTATGTATTTATCTGATCTTGTCAATTAGAATTAGAGAAACCTCAAGGTTATCTTTGATATTATTCAAAATGTTGTTTCACCTTCAACTCCATGAAGCCATCCTCATGCCCGCTGGATATATTTCCAACTTCCTTGTTTTTAAAGTAACTGATATTGTTGCTCCTCTCGTCGTCAAAATTATTAACACTTCACTTTCCACTGGGACCGTCCCAAACTTTTATAAACAGGCAGTGATAAGCCTCATTTAAAAAAAGCCCAATTTGGCCAATATCAAAACTGCCTTTTCTCTCAAAAGTCATGGAGAAGGTTAACAGCTTTCCTACGTAAAAATGAACTTTTAGATAAGTATCACTCTGGGTTTAGAAAGATGCACTCTGCTGAGACTGCTCTCCTCAAAGTGTCTAATGAGTTACAGATGGCCGCTGACAGAGTACTGAAGGTACTCAGTTTTGGTTCTATTGGATTTATCATCAGCTTTCGATACAGTGGACCACAAAATACTGTTGAATAGACTAAAAAGAGTTTGGTATCGTTGGGTCTGTCTGTTTTAAAGTGGTTTTCCTCTTACTTGAGTGACAGAACTTTAAATGGAATTCTGTCTGAAGCCACTCCATTCTTGAATGGTGTCCCGCTCTGTCCTAGGTCCACTTTTGTTTCTATTGTACAGTACATTACCCCTTTGGGAAAGATGCTAAGTCATATTAACAATGTGTCATACAATTTTTATGCTGATGACATACAGTATTGCTCGTTCAATGACTCTGAGTTCCACACACTATCGGATTTATTGGAATGTATCTCTTCTGTTAACGAATTTTGGGGATTATAAAATATTTATTTTGTCCTTAAATCTGGATGAACTTAGTCTATGATGTTGCAATCAATTTTATGGGGCAAATATGAAGAACAGAGGCACAAATTGATTACACACAGTATGTATGTGTGTTTAAAAAGAGCACAAATAAAAGTGAGAAAAGTTCATATAAAAGAAGTTATAGTGATAGAAAAATGTTTTTTTTTTTTTAATGAAAGTCAATGGGATCCAATGTTGTTTGTTCATTCTTTTGTGTTCAACAGAAAAAAAATACTGGTAACACTTTACAATAAGGTTCATACTCATACAAGTTTGAAACTTTAGTTATGTTTGTTTCTTTATGTTATGGCTGTATATCAAAATTACGCTGACCTCTTTTGCACTCTCTTTTGAACCACGAGTGATTCAAGATGCTTTAACTGTTTTTCATTTCTTTTCTTCTTTCATTTCCAGGCAAAATCAACCTTGTTGCCAACATTAGTGCGAGGGGATTTTGCAAAGATGTGGACTGCACTGTAAAAAGAAAAGGTGCCTAGAGGAACCTTTTGGGGTTCTTCACTTTGCCACGCCGGCGGAACCGTCTGTAGATCCTCTAGGAACCCTTTAAAAAGGGCGCAGTTCTCTGAGGAACCACCCAGGTTTCCTGAGGAACTCTTATGAACTCCTTATGAACTACTTATGAGTTCTGAGGAACTCCTTGTGTGGAACCGCTTTGGGTGCCTCCAGGAACCAATTTTTATTTATTTATTTATTAGTATTTCATGTTGTTACTATGGTTAGCATTAACTTCTATTATTATAAACAAACTGAACCAAATACAAGGTAAGAATTGTTTATTACATATTTTAGATCCATTTTAATACATACACTTTCATGCACTTGGGAAAAGAAGCTAGTAATAGATTAATATCAATGAATAGAATACACAAACAAATAGTATAATACTTAAGCAACATGAATAATCAACAATGTACTGTATATACCAGGGGTCACCAAACTTTTTTCTCTGGGGGCCACATTATCGTTCCTGACTGTGATGGGGGGCCGGGGCTATATAAAATAGAATTGTGTGACCAAGACCAAACTGACCACCAGCAGGCCTCATAGTAGAGATTACTAGCCTGGCACAGCCATATTTGTTTATCATTAATAGTTGTTTGCAAAAGTAGTAATCGAGTCTTCACACTTTGTTTTAATTTGAAATACCACAGATTTTCCATTTATTTATTTTCGAATACAAATAACATCAAACCTGTCAAGGTAAGAAACATCTGCCTAGTTGAGGTGAGTGGCACTGGTAAGGATGAATGAAAAATTATAAATTATAGGTAGGCCTGTTACTATTTATAATAATTGTGTACAGCACTTAATAAAGGTCAAATAAATAGGCCTATAAAATAAATAAATAAACATTGAAATTATAACAACAACATGAGTAATAGAACTAGTCAGCTCTTATGCCTATCCAGGTGAGCATGCTCAATAAACAACAAAATACCAAATGCAGACATGTTATTATTTTCCAAAAAGCAATTTAAAAAAATAGGCCATGACGACTTTTGGGGATTGCCGGTTCAAGTAGTGGGGGGCAGAGGGGTTGGGGGGCCAGTCAAAGGGGTGTGGCGGGCCTGATTCGGCCCGCGGGCCTTAGTTTGGTGACCCATGGTATATACAATAGGGTATACAAGAAAAGACATCTCAACAAAATGCATGGAAACACATCACAAAAATTAAGTTGTGTCAGTGTACTTTTTTTGCCTGTGTAATTTCACGAATTTCACAAATGTGACCGCACCTATTTGCTGCAACATAAAATGTTATCATTAATAAAATCTTCACAAGGGACATGTGAGGTTAACGAGTTAGAAAAGTACAATTTTCCGTTTGTTTTTCCTCTTTACTGGTGGATGGTCCAGGCACTTCAATGATTTTCAGGTCTACAGGAGGATTTTTTTTTCTTGTTCAAACTTGTATTTCAGCTAACCGAGGTGCCTGCAAAGAACCAAAATTACTGTCAGCAGTGTTATTACAAAGTGATAGTTGTGAACTTAAAATAATTTCCTCAGCCTTGTGACCTTCCGAACCTGTTTGACTTTCAGTCTGTGGAACCCAAAAGCAGATCTCAGGCGTAATGCAACCCCAGTCATCATTCAGTTTCACTGCAGGCGACAAGCAGAACAAAACTGTGTAAATCATTCATTAAACCACTCTTATGTACACTTGTTTAGTTCAATTCAATGCAACAATTTATGTAAAAATGGTTAAATATTGTGTTAATCTCCAAAAATGTTACAGAAAAGATCCAAAAAATATGAAAAATTAAATAAAAAAAAATTGGTCCACAACTCATGTGTTACGAGTTGTGTTGCAAATCTTCTGAAGCCATATAATAGCTCTTTTTTGTCTAAAAAGACTACACTTTAAGTTATAATTCAGAGTTCAGTTTTTTATATTAAAATGCAAAAGATTAAGGTATAAGAAAAAATGCATATAGCATAATTGGTGCCAAATCTGTGATGTAATTTTTCTGAGTAACATGAATGAGATTTGAGAGCATGAAGGAATATTTTCAGAGAATAACTGATTAAAAAACACAAGTACACAGTCAAACAAAACAAATTCACACAGAAAAGTTCATGGTAATAAAGTAGGCCTACTTGAATGTGGTGCATGTAACTTACTGTAATTCAATGTATAGCCTGTACAGATGATTTTAGAAATTCAGTGGTTCTTCTGAGGAAACAAAAGAACAAATCTGATTATATCCATTCACAACATAATAATTATTGGCCAGTAAAGGGCTTTAAAATGGTATTTGAAAGAATCAGGGCACCTGTAGTAAATAAACAAAAACAGACCAAACTAATGCCTATACACTTGTTATTCAGAACGCCAATGACGACAGTCGACAGCAGAAATTATTTATTAATAATTTATATCAGCAATACACAGTTGTACAGAATACATTTAAGTGAATGACTAAATCAATCTAAGACAATAAGTCAATGATTTTCATTAATTCTTTAACGTTAGTTCATTAAAGGATTAGTTCACTTTTGAAAAAACTTTTGCTGATAATTTACTCACCCCCATGTCATCCAAGATGTCCATGTCTTTCTTTCCTCAGTCGAAAAGAAATTTAGGTTTTTGATGAAAACATTCCAGGATTTTTCTCCATATAATGGACTTCAATGGGAACCGGATGGTTCAAGGTCCAAAAGATAGTGTTAATAACTGTTTCAGATGCAGTTTAAATGTCTTTAAACGATATCAGACGATGAATAAGGGTCTTAGCATGCGAAACGATCGGTTATTTCAAAACTTATTCCAAAAGTGTTATTTTTTTAAGGACAAATGCTAGCCTTGCTATATTCTCTGAGGCGCGTTTGTAACATCACGTAATACGTAATTACGTTCAAAAGGTCACGGGCGACGTAGCCGGAAGTACAGAATCAAAATCGTCCGACATCGTTGTTTTTCCTTTTAATTCCTTTTTTTGTAAACGGTGTTTGAGCTAGTTTGCACGTTCAACCTATGCGTTCAACTTGTAAACACTGACTCTGTACTTTCGGCTACGTCGCCCGTGACCTTTTGAACATAATTACGTAATACGTGGCGTTGCAAACACGCCTCACAGAATAGAGCAAGGCTAGCATTTGTCCTTAGAAAGTTACATTTTTGGAATAAGTTTTGAAATAACCGATCGTTTCAAGACCCTTATTCATCGTCTGATATCGTTTAAAGACATTTGAAGCTGCATCTGAAACAGTTATTAACTGTCTTTTGGACCTTGAACCATCCGGTTCCCATTGAAGTCCATTATATGGAGAAAAATCCTGGAATGTTTTCATCAAAAACCTAAATTTCTTTTCGACTGAGGAAAGAAAGACATGGACATCTTGGATGACATGGGGGTGAGTAAATTATCAGCAAAAGTTTTTTCAAAAGTGAACTAATCCTTTAACGTTAGATGAATTAGCATCGCGGCTCAAACCTTCATACCACATAGGCTACTGTGCAATAAACGAGTGATAAACTCTGTAAGAACGCGTGTTTTAGTTTATATATGTATGTGTTTGAGTATAAAGTGAGTAGACTCTGTATTTATATTTCTTTGGCGAGTTTACAAACCTTGTAACGGAGAGCCGAACAAACAGCTGACGCTTTGATGATCTGAGCCGTTACTTTCAAATCCGATGCCGATGATCAGCTGATCTGTGTTGCATCTGTGCTTACAAAACTTAAGTATAACAATAATAGGATAATAATAATTGCATTCTGGCCTCACAGAACCATTAGGTTCCCCCAGATGCTGACTTTAACATAGGAACCACTTAAAAGATCTTACAATAACCCTTATATAGCATTCAAGTTCCTCTAATTTCCCCCAAAGCACTTCGAGGTCTCATGGTATAGTGAAAATGTGACTCCAGAACCTCTGAAATGAATACAAAGTGCTTCAAGGGTCCCATAAGTTCCAGCAAGAAACACAAATATTGTCAATGCTCCTCCAGTAACCCCAACTGTTGGAGAAAGAGCTTTGAGGCACTTAAATTGTGTTTTTAGGCTCCTCAAGTATCCGACAGGATATTTAAGGGCACCTTTAGTTTTTACAGTGTGGTTTCTTAATGACATGACTATTGCGACCAAACACTTGAAATAATAAGTGGGAAAAAATGTTCTTTGTGTTTAGATTGTAATATTAGAAGACTTGTGTCACAATTCTATTTCAGTTTCGTTTTTATAGACTTCCAGTTTGTTTTCATTAGTTATGTGTCTATGTTCTGATTAACATCACTCATCAGTATCCTTGGTTAATGTCTTTTTAAGTTCACCCTTGTCCGCTGTGTTAGTTTAATCATCTTGTGTGAGTTTGTATATATCCTTATTCTGCACTCTACGCCAGTTTTATAGGGTAATGGTATTGATTGACACACATTAAAGGGTTAGTTCACCCAAAAATGAAAATTAAGTCATTAATTACTCACCCCCATGCTGTACCAACCCCGTAAGACCTTCGTTCGTCTTCGGAACACAAATGAAGATATTTTTGATTAAATTTGAGAGCTGTATAACTACCACATTGGCTCCTAAAGGACTGCCTCTTGACGGCCCAGAAAGTCAATGAAGAAAATGTTTAAATATCCCAAGTGACTACCGTGGCTCAACTATATGTTTATCAAGCGACGCGAATACTTTTTGTGCAAAAAAACAAACAAAAATAACGAGTTTATTCGACTATTTCTTTTCTTCCTTGTAGGCCAGAACGAGACTTCCTTAGATTTCCACGACGCATGCGCGAGAATTGCGATCTGCTCACACCAGCTTACACTACTTCAGATCGCAATTCTCGCGCATGCGTCGTGGAAATCTAAGGAAGTGTCATTCTGGCCTACAAGGAAGAAAAGAAATAGTCGAATAAACTCGTTATTTTTGTTTGTTTTTTCGCACAAAAAGTATTCGCGTCGCTTGATAAACATATAGTTGAGCCACGGTAGTCACTTGGGATATTTAAACATTTTCTTCATTGACTTTCTGGGCCGTCAAGAGGCAGTCCTTTAGGAGCCAATGTGGTAGTTATACAGCTCTCAAATTTAA